GTGAACGACCGTTCACAGGTCCTTGGTCAGAGGACACGTTAACCAAATTTAGGTAGTTAAGACTGTAGGTGTTTCTTAATGTCTATACCCATCTAGTAGCTGTGGTGTATGCCACACCACAGATCCCTTGGGAGAGTGACGGGTCACTCTCATGTAACCCCGTTACACCTTGTGACCAGTTCCTTGGAGCTGATAAATACACACGTAAAGTGCCTTGTGGGTTGAAGTCGTCGACAAAGTCAGACCCAGGATCTTGTGAAGTTGCGGGGATACCCGAACTCCCAGAATTCGTGGGAGTTTGAGGTGTCACTTTGGCCAGAAGAAAGAGTATACAGCGACGACCCACCTCTACATACCTGGAGGCCGTGCTCGCTATACCTGCTTGCAATGATCACACAATTGCATGGTTACAGCTGGGTTTTGAAGAAGGGTGGCTCTTTTATTGTCGTATGTTGTTCTTCCGCAGTTTGACGCCTGCAATGCTTAAAACGAATAGGATAGATTAAAATCGTTGTTTGAGAAAACTTAGTCCTGCAACCCATCCTACTCAATCAACTCGAATTTTTCCAATCACATCTTTGTATATTATTTACTTGATGTTTATCAGGAGTGATATCGAAGACGATGTGGCCCCAACACACATGTAGAATCTGAAACTTCGATTTAATGTGCGAATGAATGCGATATGATCGGATCAAAGCCAGCTACATTAAAAATCCCAGGCTATCAGAGACTAATTCAGCAAGATTGATAAGACTTTCTGATGTGTTGCTCATGCCAAAGTAGTCAATTAACTTGATCAGCGCCGGGTCCAGCATAGTGGTCAGAGAAACACTGAGGATGGATCGTGTGAGAATTTCAGCATCAATTTGTTTCAAAGTTGGGCTCGCTTCCATTACTTTTACAAGATCAATCCAGAGAAGCTTTTCCCCGTCAAGAATTACATTCGGCACGCGAGGATCTCCATGGACCAGACCATTTTTGTGTAGTTGCCTTAACAATTCAAAAAGGCTTAGAACTTCATGTCGTGTTGTTGGTCGAGGCAGAGGTTTCCCAACAGGTGACAACAATAATGCCGCACCATCAGGAGTTTCGATGATCTTTCCCACA